CTGCAGAATATCCAATAGTTAGTGCCATGAGCCCTTGACCTCTTCAAGTGCAGTCTGGATTGTCAGCTACTCTCTTTCCGAGGACTAGAAATTGCCAAAAAATGTTGACCATGGATGGTGGTAGAAGCATATATCATTCTTGTCTCCACACAAGGTGATTTACGTTTCCTCAGATATCTCATCAAGTGGAGGAAGAAGGAGGTGGCTGGCTAGATAAATAAGGCTATTCAGTTCTAGGCTCTCTCTGAGTTAGTACCACTGGGCTGGTGTCAGCCGACGGTCAGGGCAGTGTGTGTGTATGTTTCCAAGAAAAGGTTTAACGTCCGTGTCTTTATTGCTAGGACCGGGGTCCCGTCGCAGAGGGTGGCCAGCAGGCCAACAGACGCCCCTTTATAGGAAGAGCTTATTACACCTTAGATTTTAGCTGCTAGAACACAAAATTCCTTCGCAGCGGGCAGCCTGGGGAAGGCTGAAAAGTGCCCCAACGGATCTGTCACCTGGGAGTGACACAGATCCAAACGCCCAAGCTCTCCCTATGTCTGTCCCTTTATGACCGGCTGAAGTTCTTTTAAATTATGCTTGGTTCTATTACAGCAACTGAAGGAGTCAGGTTAAAGCTTAAACAGTTACAGGTTTATTAAGACTTATAAAAGCATATGGTTACAATGGCTATTGCTCTATTTCTTAAATGCTAACAAATATATATATATATAGGTCTTAAAAATGATCACAGGAAAAAGGTAAAGATAGAAAATAGAAATAATGGTACCAAGTGACAGCTTAATCTTTAAAGAGCTCTAACACTATGTATATATATACTTAAGCAAAGGACCACATCCAGGTACAATTTTTACCCCTTTCTGTGCCTCTCGACTCCAGCGTGTCAGGCCAGGGCCGGTCTCTCAATTCCTAGGAAAGACGAATACGAGGTGGGCGTCCCCTTGGAACCTCGGGAGATCAAACACCTAACCCGACCAGCAGATAGATGGTAGATTGACACTCAGAGAAAATGCGCTGCTGGACCTATCTTTATACCCCTGGGGGCCCGTATCCTCTTTCTTATCTAAGATGCCGAATTGTACTGGTCCGTTTTGTGGCGCCAGTTCTTCCAAGCAAGTTTCAAGTTAATTTACACTTGCAAGAGAGATAACTAAATTGTGAATACTAGACATTTTTTACTGGGCAAGAGATTCCTTCCCCCGCGGACGGATGTGTGTTCGTATCAATATGGGTTTGAGTCAAGGGCACTCCTTGGCAGCCTCTTGGTCAGCAAGTGGCGTATCTCTGTTTACAGCCATTCACGGTCACAGCACCCTGGGCCTTCTGCTCTGTGTGCCCTGTATGCTCCAGGCAAGCAAAAATGGATGTTACAAGGGGGGTTCCTGTCTGGCTACAGCTGGCGAATTATCAACAGACAGCACAGAGGTCCCAGTATGCCCACTGGGAAGAAGAGGCCGAATGGGTATAGCTAGCAGTGTTGGTTGTACCACCTTTGTTGAGGAGCGTAACCTTTCCTGTGACCATCAAAGAATGCATTCCTGAAAGAATATGTTCTAGAACCCTGAACCTAATCATAAGAGACCAATTGGAAATCTCATTCATAACCCTCAATATAATCCAATACAGAAGCACCTACAGACAAGAGTGGTGAGTTCTGTGGTCCTGAAAGTCGTTGGCAGTCTGGAGATCAGAGTCTCAGTAATGAGAGATGCTTGGATACCCAAGAGGAGTGGGGAGTCTGGGTCATCTATCATAGATTCTTAGTGTAGCAGAATTCTTTTGGTATCATGAACAGGATCAGTTCTAATGTGGGAGCTAACGATACAGCTGCCAAAACTAACATGACCGTTAATGTGGAATGTACAGATGAAGGTACCAATGATGTCTGGCACTGTTGCATGCTTAGTAGAGCCCTGAGAATCTCCAAATATCCACTTTATATCCTCAGACCATTTTTGAGGGATACGGATTGGATGCAGATGCAAATTTTGTATCTATGTAGTCTTAGGTTTGCCATCTTTGTCTGAGGTCTTGCTGGAGATGTTTGTTCTGGGACTTTCTTGCCCTATCATTACTGGAAGCTGACTCCTTTGACTCAACAGTACTGAACCATGAAGTTCAGGCTTCAGAGACCATAATTACCACAGCGGACCTGTTTCCCCTCCCCCAATACTGGCTCTAAGTCTCCAAAGTCTTTCCTTTCTTAGGGGAAGCCTTCTCCAAGTTTGAAGAGGTGCTGTATATGTAGAAACAGATGTACGGGTGAGCCTCTGACCTGACCCAGAAGCTGTTCAAAGAAAACATTCCATCATTAATAGTCTGAGTTTAATCTCCCTGTTCTTCCTTGCTCTGGATTTGAGGGCCAGACAGAAGAGAGGCTTACTCACCCTCTGCAGTAACTGAAGTTATTCGACATGGATGTCCCCATGGATGCTCCACCTTAGGTGTTTGGGTGCCCCAGCACACTCGGCCGGAAGGTTTGTATAGCAGTGCTTTAGCTAGGCTGTTTGTGCATGTGCAGCAATCCTGATGCGCCAGCAGCTAATGCACATGCACCAACCCCAATCCCCTCAGTTCCTTCTCTGCCCCGGTAGGCATGTGAGAGGATGCCCTGAAGCAGAGGGGAGGAAGGGTGGGTGATGGAGCAACCACAGAGATACCCATCTCAAAGAACTTCAGTTACTGCAGAGGGTGAGTGACCCTCTCTTCTTCTTCGAGGCTGTCCCTATGGGTGCTCCACCTTAGATGACTATGAAGAGGTGTCTGCTGGAGGCGGGTGCTTTGGTCAGCATAGTGTCTCTATGGACAGCCGTCAGAATGGAGAGGCTGAAAAGAGTTCCACTAGAAGGGTATGTGTTGAGCACATAGTGGGTCATGAAAGTATGGGTGGATGACCAAGTAGCTGATTTGCAAATATCTAACGGGGACACCCTGGATATATGCAGTTAATGCAGCCGTGGCCGTGAAGAATTTTTTTTTCTTTTGGAGGGTAAAAGATAATGGTTTTAAAGGCTAAGTCTGACTACAATGCAAGAATCAACGGCTATCTAGCCAATTGAGGAGCTTAATGCAGAGTGCACTGCAGGGTCCAACTGGTGCGAGAGGTGGCAGAGAAGGAATTGAGGGGACTGGGGTTCGCGCATGCACATTAGTTGCTGGAGCATCAGGATTGCTGCACATGTGCAAACAGCCTAGCTAAAGCACTGCTATACAAAAAATGTTTTTCCTGGCCTCTGAGGATAGAACAAGAAGCAATGGGCTTAAACTGCAGCAAGGGAGGTTTAGGTTGGACATTAAGAAAAAGTTCCTAACTGTGAGGGTGGTCAAACACAGGAATAAACTGCCTAGGGAGGCTGTGGAATCTCCATCTCTGGAGATATTTAAAAGTAGGTTAGATAAATGTCTATCAGGGATGGTCTAGACAGTACTGGGTCCTGCCACGAGGGCAGGGGACTGGACTCGATGACCTCTCGAGGTCCCTTCCAGTCCTAGTATTCTAGGATTTAAACTTTCTGGTTGGGCATGCTGGGGTGCCCAAACACCTAAGGTGGAGCACCCACAGGGACAGCCTTGAAGAAGTGGCACTTTTAGTAGACAGGAGACTCCCAAGGAACTGACAAACTTGGAGTGGCTTTCACTAACAATTATAATCTCTTTGCAGGAAAGGCAGTGTTCAATCCTGGTAAGCCAGGCATCCCTGGCAACGAAAATAATGTCTGAGGAGAGAAACAAAGAAATCTTACTAGTTACCTCTAACTAAGCCTATCACTAATAAACTTACTGTACAACTTGATTTTAAAGAGAAGGAATTGAAGGAAGTTTGCCTCCTGCATGTCTACATAGCCTTGATGTCCAACATCAGGAGACATAAGTAACAAATGCAGACCAAACAGACATTAAAAGAAAATCTCCGATCAAGGCCTAGAGAGGTACATGTGCACTTGACGTGGGAACACTCATAGGGACACTTCTCAAAGAAGAAAAAAGCAAAATTATTTTGTTTTAAGAAAACTGTCTGATAAGTTTACCACTGGTCACAGATTCCTGAGAGTTGGAACATCAATGTCCAGATTTAGTTAGACTTGCAGAATACTGTAATCCTGGGCCCAGGCTATGAGTGGGAGAATTACAGAATTACACTTTAGGCTAAGTAAAGGCACGAGGCCTGATACCTGGGGGAATCAGAGACCACAAATGGGAGAGGGGTGAGGTCAGCCCTATAACAATGACATTAGTCAAATCAAGCTTTAAAATTCACAATGTTAATCAATTCTAGTATTTGCACAAAGAATTAGTAAAAGGCAACTAACACTATATGGGTTAACAAGACTATTAACCACTGACTAAAGCCATGTATGTAAACACCTGATTGCATTGCAGATTTTAATCCTTCATTTAAAAGGGAAGGAATTTTCCTCTCAGTGTTTCCAGGGTGTGTTGTAGCTCGCTGACGGCATGAACAACGACTAGTCTGAAGTGCCTTCTGCTTTTGTACAAAGTAAAGATGAGGGGAACATGCAAAGAAGCAGAGATTTTGGTTTTCCTCAGTACCATAGTATTAACTGCTTTCTGAATGACAAACTACAAAGGTTTCCCCACTCCTTCTTGGGAGCCAAAAGCTCCAGTTTGAATTTATCTACTTCTTGAAACTTCTAGAATAGTTATGCACTTTCAGGACAAACATTTTCAGCACAATAAACATGGATAATTCTGGGGTAGCATAATACACGTTATTAAATATCTAAATAAGTACAAGGACGAGACCGTGCTTTTGTATCTCTTCAAATCACCTGAACCTAGTTTGTTTCTAAATGCACTTAAATCTGTTAAGAACTTCCATTCTGCTGTGCGGGCACATTGCAGAAACTAGGAGAAAGTGTTGTAGAATTTAGGTCCAGCTTGCCACTTTGACTAAAGGAAACAGAAAAACATCAAAGCTCCCCAGGTGAAAGTAACAAAAATATGGTTAAAGCACATTACAGAAGAAACAACAGCTTTACTTCTTTTTTCAGTTCTCTTTATTGGCACTTATTTGGAAAACCAGCATAAATATTTAATAGAGAAGAGACATGTTGACCCACACACAATATAGCTACTGTAACTACCTTTCTGTTCATGCATCTTTTAAAACGGTTGGCAATCAGATATCGAGGCCCATTCATGAAAAATGAGATAAAGCAAGATAAAAATCTGTAATTTTGCCCTTACCACAGAAGAATGAATGCACATTAAGTCTTTGGCATATGGCTGAGATTATAAAATAAAGCCATGCTGTATTAAAGCAAGCAAGCAGATGTTATACACATTTTTGTCTGTCTGCCACTGGAAAAGAAAAGCATGAGGCAGAATTTTATGAAAACTGATCTGTGGAATAAGGAAGCTCAGTTGACAGCTGAAATAATTTATAGATAATCATGGAGAGTCAACAATAAACCATGTTCACAGTGTTTGAGCCAAGAGTGAGACCATCACATCCTGCAACTCCATACTGTACAGGAAATATAGGTCCTTAGTCCTCATTCATCCAAGGTCTACACATCTTCTGTTTCTTACTCTTGTATGCTACTGCCCTGTCAAAGCTCTGTCTCTGAGAATTAGCCATATGACAGGGTACAGAACTGTAACCATATCTTGTTTTAGTAAAGTCTCACTACATTCAGTGCCCACCTTTGCTTCTTAGGGGCTGGCACTCTTGCTTCTGTCTTGGGAGTCTTCTAGGTTTGCTATCATGGTGCTTCTGGGCATACTAGCTTCTTCTAAATCCATTATAAGAATTCTCCAATGTCTCTACATTGCTCAATTCTATGCTTATGATCAATAATTTGTTAACTGTAAAACATCAAATTTCTTTATGCTATGATACTGAGGAAATGGAGGCTTCTTCTACTGGGTTGCTATTACTATTACTATACAGTGGAGATAAAAACATGATATGCAGTCATGTAGCAGAGCTAACGGTTGTGGATTATCACTTCAGTCTGGACTTATTCAGGGTCCTTCTTTAAAGCTTCCTTTCTCACCAACTAAAACAAAGTGTTAAGATTATATTGCCTCTAAATTTCTTATGTGAAGTATTTAATTTCAGGATTTTAGCATTTCATGCACTGTCCCAGCACACTATTCAAGCTCCTTCTATGGGAAAACAGTGCTAGGAGAATGTTTATCACTCTACCCAGTCACACCGGGGAAAAGGAAGCTGGCCATTCTGGCAGGCAACGTGTTTCATCTTAAGTCTGTATTTAGTCACACCAGCAAGTGTGATTACAAATAAAATGTAATGTATGGACAAGTCATCCATTCTGGCTCTTTTCATTCAATCAGAACATAACATTGATTAAGAGCCAAACAAATTAGGACTCAGGCACCAATTATATTTTGATATCCACATTTACATTTTAAAAACAGCAAATTACATACCTAAAACTTGTGGAGTAAAATTAATATTAACAAATGGATCATTTGATTAGCATGATAAAAAAATGACAGAATCCAAAAAAGGCAGCTATTTGTTACCTAGATCAGCACCATTACAAACTAGTGGCAGCTGAAAAGATATAGTTTAAAATGCCTTATTTCCCCTTATACAGTTATATATTTGCAATTTATTATGCCAATCTAGCAGATGTGTTAAATCAATAATGTGTATGCAGATAATTCACATATTAAAGAGAACATCTGGAGTTTAAACACTAACTGTATTTAAGTAAATGTCATACAAATCACTATAAACTTCCTCAAGGAACTATTATGGAAGCTTTTGAGAAGTAAAGATATTTTGGAAGTTCCTATGAGGAACAGGATCAGATAAGAAAATCAGTCATACATTGTAGAAACTTGTCATGTTGCTCTCCAGCTTGTCTGCTTGCCATCCAGCATAGAAGTAATACAGTCTCAATTTGTGGGTAATTTAGCTGTGAAATCTATGGGTTTAAATTGAGATCTGGAATTGGAAAGTGAGGCTGGAGAATCTCTGGTGATGCCAACTTCAGCTCGAGAATCACAGGAAGAGCCAGCACTGCTTTGATTGCCATCAAGGATACCTGAAGTCAGACTGAAAAAAAGGAGAATGTAGCAGGAGAATATGGAAAATATAAGAGCTGTATTTTGGGGGTAATTCATTAATTTAAATAGGCTTATCTGTAATTCTCTCAACATCTTTAACATATATATGTAAAACAATTAACTTTAAACACAAATTTACTGTTTTTAAAGTGACCAAGCTATAGACTCTAATTTTACATGACTGTCACGAACTAGGTTTTCATGGGACTTATTGCAGCTTGAATTCCAGAAAGGAATATACAATTTAAATTACACTAAACAAGTTCTATGAAAAAAATAACTGAAATACTGATTTGTTTTATGTTGTTAGGAACAGATATATTGTTATGGAAAAACAATCTAATTCTTCAAAGCAATTATCTGCATTTTAGTTAACCAAAATAAGATATTCTGATTCTTATTAAATTTCAAATGTTTAAAATTCTGGTTTTGATTGGCTATTAAATCACTTTAAAAACAAGTACTAATAATCTTCAAAACAGTTTTATATTTCATCTAAAAATAAAATACAAAAAAGTCTACAATAATTTTGCTCTCCAGCCAGACCATAATATTTTGCTTAGTAGTTAACCCATTCAGTTGACTCAAAGAATTGCTTATAGATTAGAAATGGTCAGACAGTGGAACTTATACAAATAAAGAAATGTTAACGTTTGTAATGAATCATCCAGCCAATTCTAGCATCATTTTTATCTTCTATTACAGGAATTCTAAAATGGAATGCCCTGACAACAACTGCCAGCAAGCTTATTAGTAATGGCAACTTATAACTCAATATGTGGTATTAGTAAGGCCATATTTAAGTTGCAATATCGTGGAAATTGCAGATTCTGCAATATTTGGCTTCTACCAGTTTTGACAGAGAGATGTGTTCCCCAACAGGGAGTCCCTGGTCTTAGCCTCAGGGGGCTGACAGTGGCTACTCAGCCACAATTTTGTGACAAACATCCTGCAATTCAAGTACGCTTTTAGGTAATAGGCAAAAAAACCAAACCAAACCAAACCAAACCAAACCAACATTAAAACATATCTACTTATTACATTTTTTACAGTATGTAAAAGAGCAAAAATAACAACTATGTAGGGGATTACTATTATTTTCTTCTCTAAAAGAACACCCAAAACAAAAAATAGCTCTTTATACTTTTTACTTTAAACCAGATGCTCATTATAATTTGCTGCATAGTTCATTTTTCTCCATCTTAGCACAAATAGTCACAATTCATATGCGGAGAGATCAGACTAGCATTCACCATATGTAACTAAGAGCAAGAGAGTTTAAAAAAGTGACGAATTGATATGCAAATGATCTTAAGATCGGAAGCTACGCCCTCCAAAATAGTTTAATCATTGGGTCTCTCATCTGAAAATATCCCTAACTCCTATAAATACTAATCATACCTATAGAACAGAAGTAATTTATCTACTGCGGGAAGTCTTTAAATTATGTGCACTGGTGCTAAATATCCAGTTGCTTTGCAATACAGATTGCACTTCTATAAACAGGATCAGAGTCCTGGTGCACTGCAGGGAGAGGGGGAATCCAGTGCTATGGGGAGGGGGGGGGGAGGAGAAGAGAGTGGCACGATGCATGGCCCAGCTGGGCTGTGGGGTTGGGAAGCCAGGCATGGGGCTCAGCTGGGCTGCGGGGAGAGCCAGGAAGCCTAGGGCAGGAAGGGGGAGCAGGGGAACCAGAAATAACCTCCCCTGGTCCCAAAATAATCCCTCATCTGGGACCAGTAAATTCCCAAGGGTGCTAGATCAGGGAGATCCAACCTGTGCTTACCTTGAAAATGCTGCAAAAATCTAAGGCTTATTATATAACACTGTTTGACATCCATGCCTGATGTCTAGAAAAAGAGACTGAAACATTTGTATAGTTTCTGATGAAAGTTACAAGGCACAGTAATTGCTTACCATGTACCAAGGTCTGTCAGATGTGAAATTTCAGGAGAAAGCATGCTAGTAGTTCCTTGAAAAAGTCGCTTGGGCTCATCTTCAGTATCCATTTCACCTTTAACAAAAACACGCAATCAGATTTGTGTTATGAAGTAACAGTTAAAGTATCTCTCTGTCAAGATTTAGATTTTTAAATTGTATCCTTTGGTATATATTGTTGTGACTGTTTTCTTCCATTATTTGATCTGAGGAAGTGGGTCTGGCCCATGAAAGCTCATCATCTAATAAACCATCTTGTTAGTCTTTAAAGTGCTACATTGTCCTGCATTTTGCTTCAGCTACCCCAGACTAACACGGCTACATCTCTACCACTATTCAAGATTTAGAGGGATCATTAGCATAGCTGATTTAGATACGTTTTACACACACACGGCCCACTACTTTCCCTTCCTTGTATGGAATAGTACAGCTTGGTTCTAAGTACTCTAAACATAGCTTAACAAGCCAAAAAGTTACTGTTATGGAAATTAAGGGTGAGAAAGCTTTTAAAAACAGATGCAATAAAATGACCATTGAAGTAGAGGCTAAGAGAAGCAAGGGTAGGAATAAAGATTGAGGCAATCTTCCAATACTTAAATAACTTTTACATAAAATTACAAGATTAGGTGGCCACGCTTTTCTGGGCATCTGGATGTTAAATTTTGAGGCCTGTAGTGAATCAGAATAAAGAGGGTTGTATACCTATAACAGGGTAAAAAAAAGAACTTGATAAGTTAATGGAAGATAGATCCATCAGTGGCTATTAGCCAGGATGTGCAGGTATGCAAAACCATGCTCTAAAGTGTCTCTACCTTCTGACTGCCAAAAGTTGGGAATGGGCAACAGGGGATGGATCACTTGATGATTTTCTATTTTCTTCATTCCCTCTGAAGCATCTGGCATTGACCACTGGGCTATGTGGACTATCTGACCGAGTATTGGCATTCTTATGTTCAACTTCCGTATAGTTACAAAGAAAACGTGTGGCTACCAAGAAATGTGTGGCTATGCTTGTGACCTTAACTCTACAGCATCTCTGTGCTTCAATTAACTAGGACCCCCTACAAATGAAGAATGAGTACCAAGGACTCCTTAATTCCTTTAGATGAAAAGTTCCATGTGCAACCTTGAATCAATGGATGGGTAGCCAGACAGAATGACCATTTTAATTATAGATTTATCAGAGAGTTAATTTTTCAACTATTGTACTTCATTGGCCCAAACTTACAGCCATGTCTTTATATCATACAGTTTGGTAAAATTCAATTGTTTCCTAGCAAGTATCAGTCTAAAAACAAGAGTATCAAGAAAGCTGTATGAACTATTGTCAAGTTAACAATTAGAAACACATGCTGTACCTTTTCTTTTCATTGGCCCAAGAACACTTGGGCGAATGCAGTGGACAGGACTCTGACTTCTCCTGCTAAAAGAGTACAAACAGTATATTGGTACAACATCACTGGCGTAAATAGCATGGAAAACAATTACAAGGAACAAGGCTGTTCAGGAAAGTTGCTCAGCTTAAGGCAAACCCAAACAAAGGGAAGTAGACAATAAGACAGGATAGCTCCTCCTCCCAAAATCTTTTAAAAGATTAACATGAAACATGACTGACCCTTAAAAAATTACCATAGAATACTATACCAGAAAGTCTGGATCACATACTGAAGCCTTCAAAAAACATTCCCATCATTTCTTCTAATACAATCATCAATATGAGCAAGAAAATTTCTCCACAATGTTCTTGTAGCCCTTGCATCCAATTCAAAACCATGAACGCCCAAACCTGGTCAAGTTCTAAAAAACTGAATACAGGCAGTCCCCGGGTTACGTACAAGATAGGGACTGTAGGTTTGTTCTTAAGTTGAATCTGTATGTAAGTCGGAACTGGTGTCCAGATTCAGCCGCTGCTGAAACTGACCGCCAGTTTTTTCATCAATTTTTCATAAAATTAATATGGTTCAAGAAACTACTACTAGCTCAGGATAGTATTTTGAGAGAGACCTTGACAACTTGCTGTTACATTTCATTAAATAACATGGATACATGCTATATTTAGACCTTCTAACCTAACTTCTGGATCTAAAGTGTTAGAAATGTGAAGGATTTTAAAATTATCTTGCTAGGACATCCAAACCTTGGTATCATCCTGAATCTTCATTTCATACTTTAAAAGGAACAGACAATAGTGAATATGGGTGTGAAGTGTGTTATTCACAGCTTCAAAATGGGAAAGGCTTCAGCTATGGCCCTGGTAACTGTCATGTGACAAGGCATCTAGGTGACTGTATATGTGAAATGAGTGCAAATGCTCAGAAATGGGCCTCAGAATTACTTGTTCTGACTTTTTTTTTTCCAGGAACCTGTTTACTTACGCGGATCCGACTTATGTCGGATCCGCACTTACGAACGGGGCTTTCTCGCCCTGGAGCTCGCAGGCAGCGATCCGCCACCTTGACCTCCGGGGCGAGAAAAGCTGCTCCTGGTGCCCCTGGTCTGCTGGAGACCGTCCCCAGCAGACCAGGGGCACCGGGAGCAGCTTTTCTCGCCCCAGAGGTCGAGGTGGTGGATCGCTGCCTGCGAGCTCCGGGGCGAAAAAGCCCCGTTCGTAAGTGCGGATCCGACATAAGTCGGATCCGCGTAAGTCGGGGACTGTCTGTACTTCTACTGAAAGTGGATCCATGAGTACCCCAAAGTAAGCCATCCCTCTAAACACAAATCTAGCAGCGTGCTGTCCCTGTGAGTCTGTAGGTTAGCAGCAGTAGTGAGATTCACCATCTGTTTACATTATGTTGCTAGAAAAAACAATAAGAGCCAAAATATTCTGTCTTGCACAGACTGGTGAAGACTGAATGGACCAGAAATTTCAGGAGAAGCAACCCCAAGCACTGGTTAAAAAAAAAATTAAAAATGCTCAAGAGCTCTGCAGTATCAGCTACTTCTGCAAGTAATAAAAGGTCACTTACAGCAACAGATTTGGCAGGTAAGTTTTTCACCTGCATTGATACCTACACCCTTCATAGCACAGCCCAAACAGTGTCTTCCACCAGCCTGGCCACCCACAAAAGTTATCCTATTTCTGGCAACACTGAAGTAGGAGAAAGACAGTAATAATAAGCCTCTCTTACAGACTGAAAGAATTAAAATGATTCTGTTTTCAGCAAGCTCAAAGACCACATTCTAAGGGTCATTCAATGCTAATACCATGTCTCAAGGGAAGGGCGTGTAACGAGAATTAGTGGGTTAAA